GCAAAAGCGATACTAACGCAAGCTGCAGATAATTCGAGTACTTTAGGGCGATATTTTGTAATTTTGGCGTATCAAATACGCGTATACATTTTACTTTTTACTAAAAAATAGGTTAAAAACAATAGAATGAGCAACCGGAGTTGCTATGTTGCAAATTATACTAACAAAAAAACTGTAAATTATATAAATTTTCAGTAGCAAAATCCAAATTAAATCAAAAAAATAATTAGCTGTATAATAAGAAGAAAAAAACCTTAATTTTTGTAATAATAACAGTAATGCTGGAAATAATAAACATCAGAAAAGGTTGTAAATAATAAATTATTATTTTATGATATTCTTCAACATCCCTTAAGTCTTAAATGTTTAGCAAATGATTAGATTTCTGCCTTTAATTATTATATATGGCTGAAATGCAATCTTATGACTTATTGATAGGAAACCAGTTTTAATCATTAATTTCTATGGGTTCTTTCAAACTAAAAATGAAGAAAATATAAATTACAATCGCAAATATACCAATTATTTTTGTTAATACGTTTTAATTCTACGTTACTATATAATAGTAGTGTTTTTATTTTGACATTATTTAACCTATTCTTCAATGACAACTTATTAGGCTTAGGCAAGATCTCATACATTTTCTCGTAAATACCTACCTATGATTTATTATTGATTTTTATTGATTATACTACTTTTTTTTTTAGCTGAAGTAATATAAATATATAATAATATTAATAATTTTCTTACTTGTTTTATAAATCTATATACTTTTATTTTCTTTTTTTCTTGGATTTTATTTATTAGAGACTTGTTATGACAACTTAAGTATCAGTTTTGTCAAATATGTCAGTGACATTGTTAGGGTTACTACTACAGTTCCACTCCCCCTTAGCTTCGCTATTCAGTGAGATATCGGATTAATTTTGTTCTGTTTGAAAGAATTTCTTATAATAGATTCAATTGTTCTGTGACGTCATGGCTTACTTCCGATTTTTCCGAAAATAACAGATTTTTTTTTATTTTTAAAAGGAAACTCTCTTTTTTATTGCAAATTTAAATTTCTGGGACATTTTTGTATAATAATCGTGTATTGACAATTTTCTGTAAGCTGTCAAAATGGCCGCCATATTGGATAATATTTTTTCTAAATATGTTACTATTAATTCGTTTATGGAAAAACATATAGGAATGTACGAACTTTATAAAATCTTTTTAGGCTTCAAAATTCCCATTGAGACCCATTAACCGTATACCAGTGGCGTATCTAAGCATTTTTATTATTAGCAAACCGTTTAATAATTCTATCCGATTTTATCTTCGTTGTTAATTGAGATACTGGAATGAAAACTTATTTGTTTAAAAGCTTGGGACAAATACTCTCATATACTGGATTCAATTGGTGTGTGACTTCATGGCTTACTTCTGTTTCATCAGAAATAACAAAATCTCAATTTATTTTTAATTTTTAAATAGAAACCCCGTTTTTATTGAACATTTGAATTTTAGAGACATTTATGGATAAGAATCATGTGTTGAAAATGTTTTGTCAGCTGTCAAAATGATCATCATATTGAAACATATTTTTTTTAATGTTACTGAAAAAATTTTCAATACACGCTTCTTATACAAAAATGTACCAGAAATTCAAATTTTCAATAAAAAAAGGTTTTCATTTAAAAATAAAAAATAAATTTCGATTTTCTGTTATTTCTGGAATTCTGGAAAAACCGGAAGTAAGCCATGAAGTCACAGAATAATTAAATCCATCATAAGAAAATTCTCTTTTATGTTTCATTTTCTTTGTTTTTCAATAAATAAACATATTATATTTCTTCAAAATTTTGCCCCCCCCCCCCTATAGAATTGTGTAACGACGCCAATGTTTACGTCCGCACAATTTCTCAAAATGGATTAGTATCGACTCATTTACTTTGCTCAAAGTCAAGAATTGCGCCCATTAAAACAATCTCTTTACCAAGACTCGAACTAAGTGGAGCTCTCTTACTTGCTAAACTTAAGCAACACTTCTGGCTAAGATATTCCAAAGAATATCTCAACAGACTTCAAAATAAGCCTAAATGGCATAGTTCTATATCAAATTTAAAGGTAAACACTCTAGTGCTTTTAAAAGAGGATAACGTACCTCCGCTACACTGGGTGTTAGCACGAATTGTGGAGATAATGCCAGGTCCTGACAACAAAGTTCGTGTAGCAAAGGTTAGGACCAAGAACGGTATTTATACTCGTGCTATTTCTAAACTTTATCCTTTGCCGTTTGAAAAATAATTTTTCTTTATTTAGGGGGGGAGGATGTTGCAGTTCAAAAAACCTGATAACCCGACACTGGCTAGTTGTCGAGAGTATCGTCAGCTAAGCATTTAAATATAATTTTTTGTGTTGCATAATCTGCACCTCTCGCGTTTCGTCAATGGTCATCACTTCTCATCCAGCATTCCAAATACACTTCTCGTATCGATTTTAATAACATTTAATTTAAACACAATATTCATTTAATATTAAATAAAAATACAGATAGTTGTCATTCCATCAAAGCAGTTTTTTATATATAACAAAAATAAAAGTGACTCGTTTCGTTCAACAATTAAGGGTTTTTAATTCCAAAGCATCCCGCATCTCACACAGTTTGAACCGTATCCAGTAATAAGAAGAGAGTTCAAACAAAAGATATTTTAAAAGTTATTTTGGGTGGCTAGTTTTGAAATGAAATCCCTGTAATTTGTGAATTTTACTGATTTTTAAAATAAAATAAACATGAAAAAAAAAAAAAGAAGATTTAATCAATTAGTTCCCAGCCGAGAATCGATTCCCGGCTTTTCATGTGGAGGGCAAGCGCTCTGTCCTCATGTCCACTGCAACTTTTAGGATTCTGGTTTTAATACTCGTAATTAAAGTAGAAATGCTATTATTATTTATCGATTCACAAAAATTACCTATTTTAATGTATATTTAATCTCAATAACTAAAAAATATACTGACAATTAGTTTGACTGGATTGTAATTTATTTAAAATTTTAAAAATAATAATAGTTGATGTCCCAAATATGAACTGTGTTCTCACTACCTAGAGTGGATATGAAATATATTCGTTCAGTTGAGCAATTATATACTTTTTCGTTTTGTAGTCTGTGCGTAGATAAGCTGATATCCATGTGTTTGTGGAAAAAATCAATTTTAGTACTAAATCTTTATCAACCCTCGTAAAATAATATACTACTGTCGGCGAAATCAAAGACATTATTTTTATTTATAAATCTATAGTTCAATAAATTTCCACTGGGGCAGCACTTTCCAGTGCAAAAATCTTGATTTGCAGAGATATATGAGCCCACCATCCTACGATTTTATTTTAAAATGTACAACAAAATAAAAAATATGGTAGTACAAAAGAAGGATGAAACTACTTTTTTGAAATTTAATTTTGTATGAACATAAAAAAACTGAAAACTCGTGAAAAATTAAAAATTAAGAAATTTTTTTCTAAAAAACTATTTAAAAATTTGAAAATCCACTCCCAAATAAACATAGATACAAGTATACTTGACCAAAAATATTTTTTGTATTTAAAAAAAGATAATAATAAACGTATAGAATGATGGATGAGTACCAGTGACGCAAGTGACTCCACCAAAAATGAAACGTAAATCATCCTCTTAATCAGTATGAATTAAAAAAAAAAAAAAAAAACTGAATGATACCTAAATTTATATGTGAATATCTATAAATTTCTGAAATGATAAATGATGAGGAGAATACGCAGTATTAGTGATAACGTAATTTGTTTATAGACTATATATCTAGTTATTTATTTTAGTAATATTCAATTTAACAATTCTGAAAGAATAGTTATGTTCCGTTAACCGAATTGGTAAAGGCGGTGTGCGTAATACACGAACAGGTGGATTTGAATCCCGACTAGGTCAAATTTTTTTCAGTATTTTAATAAAGTTGTTTTCACCTTTTGGGGGTTCATAAATAATTTTCAGAATTTCGTATGGGTAATTTTAAAATTTCACATTAGTAAAAATACACATTTTTGCCAAACTTGCTATTGGTCCTCCCCCACAACTCGATAGGGGTGAATAGTTCTATGTCAAATAGAACCATTCACTCCCAAGTACTTTATGTGACTTCAGGGAAACGACTAATTATAAAAATTTCTAACCCACAATCAGAAAATTTTCACCGACCGTTGTTTACAAAATGTCTAGTCAGTTGGTTTTTGAAAAGTTAATGAACAATTTAAATTTTAAATTTCTCCAAACTTTTCATTTATGGGTTAGGACCCTTCACAACTACAATGACGATTTAGGGATTTTCAAAAATGTTAAATATTTATCTACTAGATAGGTGTAATTTTAAGTTTATAACTTATAAAAACTAAATAAAAATGAGTGCCTCTTATAGAAAATGTACGATGTTCAACAGACAAGTAATACTCATTTCCTACTCGTTACAAAATTATATCTTTTGAAAATGAAGAAGGGTACCCAGCTGCCCTAATGTGGTCATCTTACATTAGGGATATATTATTAAAAGTTCAGAACCACATAATTTACTCGTGAACAAAACTCAATAAAAAAAAAATAAATTACTATTACTGTCATTTGTCAATAGAACATAAATTACGTTATCACTTATATAGCATATACAATATATTATTGTCACGATGGCCACCATTATTATTTGCGACAGACTCTTTAGTAAATTCTATTCTGAATATAATACTAATATCGTCTTAAGGAGATGTCTCATAAATAAATTACAGCAAATTAATTTAATGCACATGAATAATAAAAAACTTTTCAACATTGAAGAATGATTACTAAAAATGTTTTGTAAATTGTTCCACCAGAGAGCATATCGATTAGCTTGAATCGCCAATATTACATTTGTTGTTTAGATACTTAATTTTTTCTTCTCCATATTCTAAGTCACAGAACCCATGACTAGGCAATAATGTTTTTAATATTTTACAGGAAATAATGGATGTGGAACACCTGTGGCACTACAATGAATCTGAACTGAACAAACTGAGTACCGATGGCCATCTTGGCAAAGAGGGCTCGAGCGGGGCGGTACACAATTTGTCGACCCATCCACTTCTAGCAGGCACGGCTCTGGCAGGATCTGCAGACACGAATCCTGATTTCGTAGCGAATTTGTGCAATATCGCTGATCATAGACTGTATAAAATTGTCAAGTGGTGCAAAAGTCTTCCCTTGTTTAAAAATATTTCAGTGAGTTCATTTTGTCTCTTAAATATTTAATTTTAAGTTTGTTTCAACCCAATTTATTATTTTCCTTTTAGATTGACGATCAGATATGTTTACTAATTAATTCCTGGTGCGAGCTTCTTCTGTTTTCTTGTTGCTTCCGATCGATGGCTACTCCTGGAGAAATTAGGATATCGCTGGGAAAGAGTATAACTCTAGCGCAGGCTCGAGAGATGGGCATGCAAGCGTGTATAGAAAGGATGTTGAACTTTACAGAACAACTCAGAAGATTGAGGGTAGACCAATATGAATATATAGCTATGAAAGTTATTGTACTCTTAACTTCCGGTAAGGTTAATTTGTTTATAAATACTTTCACACTTTTCTATTTAAATTTTTAAATACCATTTTACGTTTTTAAATACCATTTTACATTTAATTAATTTTGTAAATTATTTTAAATCTTTTGCACTAAAAGTGAAAAATTTTAGTGATGGGTAAACTATTGGTTGTAACCACTGTTGTAGGTTTTACAACTTAAGTGATTAAAAGGCTCATTAATAAGGATGTAATAACTCAATTACCCTGAAATTAGAGTTGGTCACCATAGTATTTGAATTCGCATATCTCTAAGTATAAAAGTAATTGATAAAAATATGGAAACAAAAATTACTATTAAATTTTGATGCAAATAAAGGATATGCCTTCAAAAGATACGGTAAAACCAATTTCTAATAATAAAATGGCTTTTAGAGATATATATTTCTGAATAGTACTTGGTACAAAGTAAAATTAACTTATCTCAATGAGGTAGGACTTCATCAAAGGGTAAAAAATGTCTCATCTACGATGAACGGTCTAATTTGCTGTTTTCTCTAATATCCAAATCGGTAAATATTTGTCAAACAGTCTATTATCCTTTCTTAGATCCTCAGGACGTTAAATACTATCCAGATCAGCAAATCCTTGTAGCCTTCAAATAGTTCAGCCTTCTAGACGTCAATCATTCCTCATATTACCAAGGAAAAAATAATCCAAATCATTCTTTATATTACCAACTAAAAAACCATCCAAATGATAAAAGATGTCGACCTTTTAATGGATAAATCGGATAGGGGGGATGGATGAGACGAACGTTTTGAATAATGAACTAATATCTATTTCTTTACAGAAACTAACAAATTCAAAGCGTGTCGTCTCACAAAAAAACAACCTTAAAAAGTTAAACATAATAATCTCGGGCAATCTTTGTATGAAACAAAAAAATATCAAATTTAACACTTACCATATTTAATCTAGTGGAATTTTAAAAATAAAAAAACATTAATTTATCACCTAGATTTATACAAATTCGTCTTCTTGACTCCAAATTCAGAAAGAAAAACAATCAAAAATTAATCTCGTTTGACAGACACAATTGTTGTTCCAAGGAAAGAATTGGGACAATAGAGGTGTTTGAAAAATAACGGTATTAGATGAAGTTCGTCGGCAAGATAGATTCATAGTGTCTTGATCAGACTTGGTACGACACTCATGATATTGTGAAAAAAGGATGGAGTGAGCAATCTGCTAAATATTCTGTGAATGCTCTTTCAAATAGAGGAAAATGTATTATAATATATGCCGGTAATGAAAACGGTTTTGTGTTTATTATCACCAAATAATATTTTGAGTTGTTCAGCAGATTATCACCAATATATGACATCTACGTTCTTCGAGAAATGGTTTGGTGAACAATTAATCCCTAATTTGCCACCAAATGCTGTTATAGTAATGGATAATGCCCCTTACCACTCTCGTCAAATTAGTGAAATTCCAAAAGCGAAAGCTCGAAAAGAGGTAATTTCCGCGCTTTTGGACAAAATGGGTGTATCATATCCACCTAAAACTTAAAAAAAAGATTTGTTTGCAATATTGAAAGGCTTAAATCTCAAACCTAGCTATGTTGTGGATGAGGTGGCTATGGCATTCGTTCATACTGTAATACATTTACCACCTTATTATTGTACATTAAATGCAATATAATTAATTTGGAGTAACATCAAAAGGGAGGTTAAAAAAAAAAATGTTAATCCTGCTTGGTCTGAAAGCGTTTTAGATGTTATTAGAGAAGTTGTTGGAGATATATCTCAAGAATTCTACCCCAAATACGTTCTTCATGTATCCAAAATTGAAAATAACCATCGAATATTTCCGGCTCATTCTTGCATTATAAGACTGAATGACACGTCAAGAGAAGATGATAGTTCTGATGAGATTTGGTTTTCCATTTTGGTTATATTTTTACGTTACTGAACGTAACCACGTATCTGTTGGTTCACGTTACTTTGGTATTGTTCCTGTTTTCCTTCTCTAGGAATGTAACCTTGACTTGGCTTCAATCACTTTAAAAATTAAAGCCAGACTAATACATTCTACAATAATTTAAATTTTTTTATAATACTCGTAAAAGAGGACACAACAGTTGTTCCAAGATTTTTTTGTAACATCCTACATTGATTTTTAATATTCAATGTAATATTTAAATACTTCAATTAAATAAAATAGTAGATGAAATAATATAGTTTCATGGCGATTTTGATTACAAGTCGTGAATATTTATTTCGGATCAATTTCGTAAGTGTTGCCTTTAAAACTAAATTTAGTGATATTTATTAAATAATCGAAGAAGGAAATTATGCGAATAATGTGATAATATTTAAATACGTATAACAGTTTCTCTTTAAAGCGTAACATACAACTAATTAGATCCGTCCCTGAGTTGCCGTTGTAGATGTTTATATTCGAGTCCCTCTGTTGTGCAAAAAGAGAAAGAATATATTTACCTCCAATTATAAGTGATTATATTTTTAACAAACATCCTTTTTTGATACAGTGTCAACGAGGTTTAAATAAGTTGAAAATAACATGTTTGTTTTCATAATATTCAGAAATGTACATTTATTTACAGATACATCAGAACTGAAAGAAGCTGAAAAAGTGAGGTTATCTCAAGAAAAAGCTCTTAAAGCTCTACAAGACTATACTCTATCACATTATCCGGAAAGTCCTTCTAAGTTTGGGGAATTGCTTTTACGGATTCCAGAATTACAACGAACTTGTCAAGTAAGTAACTTATTATTTTGACTAATTATTTATAATTAAATATATTATTCAACAAGCGTATAATAATATAATAACTTATTTAAAACCATTGTTCAAGAAACCATTCCTATAGTAAAAGTTCAAAGAGCGGATACCAGGAATAGATCACATTATCAAGCAATTTTGATGTTCATACCAACTTTAAATACAAATTTTTATTAATTTTGATCGTACATTAAAGCAGAGCGAGAGATCAAAAAGGAAGTAAGAAATCATTATGAGAAAAGAGTTGCTTAATGCGAACCTAATATATTTATTAAATTTAAAAATAGAGTTCCATCGATAGTGTCAAAAAACTAATAAAGCAAGTAACCAAAAATCAAGATGTGCTCCTTTATTATCAGAATGTACGTGGTCTTCACACCAAATTAAAATCACTTATTCTTTTTAATTTAAACAGCTGCGATATTATAGTTCTAACGGAGACATGGCTAAATGATGAAATATTTACAGCTGAGCTTAATCTACCCGACTATAAAATTTATATAAAAGATCGGTCTGGCAATACCAGTATCTACTCGAGAGGAGGGAATGTTCTGATTAGGGTGAAAAAAAATCAAATGTAGATTTCTTACTTCTTCTGATGCAATTGTATTAGTTGGATGTGGACAGAATCAAACTGTCATTGGAGCTGGTTATTTTCCACCTAAAACAGTCCATGAAAAATATATAATTGTGAGCGATGATATTGACATGATCACCCGCAATTATCCACATGCTAAACTGTGCCTCTTAGGTGATTTCAATCTGCCTCACTCTATCTGGATCTATGATAATTTTGTCCGCCTAAAGAAAATCAAAGTTTAATTAAATAAATTTAATCTAGGAAAAAATGGAAAACAAATACAAATGTAAGAAAGATTTTTCTAATTATGTTTGTATTATATGTGTTAATGTTTTTAATCCAAATTGCAGAGAAAGACGGAATGTGATTAAACTAGGAGAATTTTAAATATATTGTTCGGAGGAGTGCCAAAATAAAGAAATAGATTGTGACGAGCACAAGGAGCGACTGGAAATTATAATAAGTGAATTAAAAAAAGAAATTGATGAAAAAAACGCCTATTTGAAGAGAATTAATAGACGCTCTCTAGAATTTGAAGTACTTGATAGTGAAAAAAAAAAAAATAATTGAACTTATACTGAAACAGAAACATAGTATGAAGTTGGAAAATGACTTAAAAGAAATTAATGAAATTAGTAAAAATATAATATCTGCTATAAGAAATCTTGGACCTGACAATGAAATATATCAAAATCAGATGCTTAGTGCTAAGGGAAGAAATGATCTGACAAGAGAAAATCAACGCAACAAATATGTTTCCATTTAATCTATAAATTTAATAAACCGTGTTAAAACTAGTCAAAGTAACAACTCTGATATAAGAAAAAATAAAGGAAAATTCTAATATTGGGAGATAAATTTGGTCTTAACTTAAATAATTTAATTAGAAAACTATTAAACTCAAAAGAATAGGATAGAATCATTTGTCAAACCGGTATAAATTTCAATAATATAATAGAAAAGGTAAAACATTTTAATTTAAATCATTTAGTTGTCATAGTAATGATTTTGAAATGAATAAGATACCAAAATTTAAAAATACTGTTACCAAATTAAAAATTTGTATTCATACAAATGTTTTAATCTTATCTAGTCCAATCCTGGCAAGAAATAACAAGAATAATGTTATTAATAAATTTAACAACCATTTATTACAATTTGTTAGTAAACTAAAGCTGTACACAGAGGATAAAATGTAATTTTTAAATATTAACAGAAATCGAGGTTTTAAATCAAAATATTATGATATTGCTTCTAAAATTGTTAATGAAACAGGAAACTATACCAATAATACTAAGAATCGTATATCCATTATACCAAATGACACATTACCCTCTTCTTATCCTAACATTCCAGTGATTGTTGTTGATGGAAACTCTAGTAATACGGATAATAACGATAATATTATCCAAATGCTGAAAAAAATTCTAATTCTTTTTAAAAAATTCCACATCAAGAACAAAATTTAGTATCATAATTTACAATATTCGGTCAATTAGAAATAAGGTGGAGGAATTAGAGTTATTTTTAAGTACTTTAGAGGAACCAATCATATGTATCTCTGAACATTGGCTAGAATCGCAGGTGCCTATTTGTGTGTATAATTATACCTTAGTTTCGACATTTTTCCGGGTCGAGTTTGAGTGTGGTGGGGCACTTGTATATTTGTTAGAGACAATTTTCATAATGAACATACCTTTATTAACATTAACAAATATAACTATCTTATTATTGAAACGGAATTTGAATTTTCAGTTGCATGTAGTAATTCATTAAATTTATTCATAATTGTGGTATATCGATCACCAAATAATCACCGAATTAGTTAATTTTTCAATGCCGTAGAAAATATTCTATCTCAAATACCACCAAACGCGTCAATAATTTTAACAGGTGATTTCAACACAGATTATCTAAAGTCTGTATATTCGAATGTCAAAAATTTGACACATCTTCTTAATCATTATAATCTAACTGCACATGTTAAAGAACCTACTCGCAAAAATACATTAGATTATTTCTGTACAATCTTTGAGTCAAATTGCGTAAGTTGTTATGTAACAAAAAATGATGATCCGGTATTAGGTCACATATTTAGTAAATCTAATTACAATAAATGTTCTCAACTGTGTATTGAGGAAAATTGGTTTAATATTTTGTCATCCTCAGACCCTTTTCAGCAGTTTCATACTACTCTATTAAAAAAAAATTATAATGCTTTTCCTATGAAAACATTAAAAAACAAACCCAAAAAGCCTTGGATAACTAACGGGATTAAGACTTCGGTAAAAAATATGCACTCCTTGTACCTAATAAAAAACTATTCAGGTGATGTGGTTCTATCTTAAATTATTACTTGAAATATCGGGCAAATTTACAGGAAAACGATTAAAGTAGCTAAACAATTATACTTTAAAAAAACAAGAAACGAGGCAAGCAATAAACAAAGAGAGACCTGGAAAATAATAAATGACTTAAGAGGAAAATTTACAATACAAACTGAAAGACCTGCGGGGCAACGGTAGTTTAGTAGGTATAAAAATTACAACTTGAGGGTGGAGCCTAAATACTACAAACTTACTTCCGAGACTAAACAAAATCCCATTCATTCATAATTTTAACAATTGCATGTAGATACGAGGGATACATATTCTAAACTCTAACGCGCAAAGTTGAGACAAAGGAACCGAAAAAAATCCTACCACGGCTGCCGACGTTCATCAGTTATTGAGTGAGTCAGAGTTACCTAAATTAGGGAAAACAGAATCGTATTTGTTTTTCTTGCTGCATTGTGATATATATTGTTATAACGCAGTTCGATTTATTAGAGGGTTTTACATTATTTTTATATTTTAATTTAGTGAATAGCTTTAGTTAGATTAAATTACATTTAGAAGCATAGAGTTGTGAAAGATGGGCAAAATTAAACCAATCTACAAATAACGAAAAAATAGAGGATTGTTTCGAATAAGGTAATATCAATTAATACAGGTTATTTATACTCAAAGGTGTGAAAGTTAATATCAACTTATGTCGTAAACCTCTTAATTTTTGAGTTACAGGGTGTTATAGTATTAAGAAAAAAATAACTATTTTATCATAAGTTTCTTATCAGTCTAGATATTTTTATGAAATTTTTCCCAAGAAAAAGTGTTTCCACTCATGGTGAGTTCCCACCAAATTTCAACAAAATATCAAAAGCAGTTTCAATAAACGTAAAAAAATTTTTTGGTTTTTATTTTCTTACGCGAAAAGGTTGCGTCGTACGAAAGTACATCTATAAACCAAAATAAATAAGGATTTTAAAGATAATTTTGGTTTTTAGAAAAAGCAGTGGCGTACCATATTTTTCTTCAAAAATATTCAGTTCAAACCTGGTACGGACGTCACTGGTAAAAATTAAAAAGGCGGGATTAAAAGTGAAAGTTTAGTCCGTTACATAATATACTATATTAATATATCTAATTTTTATTATTACACTGTATGTAACATGGCTTTTTTGTTTGCCTTTTTTGGATTAACAAAATATTATTTTAATGATTTAAAATAAGCTGCCAGTAATAATAATAATAATAATTATCTGTACCTAAACATATACAAAGTGAAATCATAAAACGACGATCAAGAAAACACCAAATTATTAAACTTTTTTAATCTACGTAACAAGTATTAAAAGTAATTTGAAAAACCGACTTGAAAATCGTACAAATGCCATCACCACATCTTAACCAAATTTATATGGGACCACCCCTGAGGTATCCCCTTACTAACAAAAAAGAATCATAGAAATCGGACAAGGTGGTAAAGAATTATCGCTAAACATACATAAAAAATGAAGAGTTTGAGGATTTTCTCATGGACCCAATTATTAGATTTTAACCAAATATGGGACCACCCCTGAAGCACCCCCTTTCCAGCAAAAAAAGACTCCTTGAAATCGGACACCGTGTTAAAGAATTATCACTGAACATACATAAAAAAAATATATTCCGACGAATTGAAAACTTTTTTCTTTTTTGAAATCGGTTAAAAAAGTATATACATTTTTTTAAACTAATTTTATATGTAAAAATGTGAGTTCGGTTTCTAGAAGAGTACCTAGTTCACTGCGTAGCCAAATTTATATTTATGGTACAGAATTTTTTAAATAAATAAAGTTTTAGGTTTAATTAAACATAAGTTTTATCAGGAATAACATTTTCTGAAAAAAGTAACAAGAAAAAGTTTTCCATATAAAAATCTGCTTTCGAGCCACTATATATATTTTAGAGGGCAATCCATATTATATTGGACAAATAAATAAAATTTTTGTATAATCACAAAAATGTGATTTATCTTTTAGAATATTGCATATGTTTATTAAAGTTTACTATTTTTTATAAAACAAGAATTATAT